CAAAAACAGGGATGATCCTCACCCATCTCCTTACCATCTCCTCTCTTCCTGGCAGCAGACAGGCTTGGCTTGGCAGGATCACAAACCCAGGGTGGACCTGTTGGGAGGTTCCAGAATAAAGTTCAGTCCCAAACCAACACCAGACTTGATGTCAGATATCAAGATAGTGCTGCTGAGAAACAAGGTGGGATCAGGGAAGGAATAAAGAGGCTTAGCTTTAGGAAAGCATTGAAGCCACACTCTTGGATGCCCCCTTCAGTGCTCTGTTCCCCCCCCCCCCCCACCAATTCTCTTGATTCTTCCACCCCCACTCCTACCCAGTGACCAAATTCTCTTTGATCCATCTTTCATCCTGGCCACTTCACACACACACACACACACACACACACACACAATTCAGGACACAGACAAGTTGTCATCTGTCCCTCATCTCTCCTGTTTCTTTCTTTTCCCCTCAAACACATGCCCTTAAGATCTCTACACAGGACTCCCAGCTTCTCCCTTCCCCCATCTAAGGGAACTCTAGCCCAAAGGGGTCTGTCTGTTCTCATTCCCAGAAAGATGCCTAGGACAATGAATGGTCTGGCTGCTGGCACGCCTTGAACTGGGACTCCAAAGAGAGAGAATTGAGGCAGAGGGCAAGCCCCTAGGATGGAGGTGGGAGGGCTAGTGTCACTGCTGGGTTGAGTACCAAGTATCTGAGTGTATGCCCATGCGTTGGGGCGCACTGGTTTATTAGTGTTATTTCAGCATTGTGATGCAGAGAGAGTAAGTGTAACAGCTGCTCCTAGCTCACAGTGTTTATTGTTACCTAGAGACAACCTCCTGGCTTTTTCCCAGTTCCCCACCACCACCCCAAACACCCCCCCCCAAGTCCTGCTCTCCCCACACTCTGATGGGAAATTTATAGCTTGCCCATACCATACCTTTAACCCTCTCTTGCCTGTAGAGGATGGCTAAGGTGAGCAGTGGGAACACTTGAACTTGGGTGGAATGAGATAGGATTCAGTAAGGACACCCACTTAATCCTCCCTCCTTCATGCTGTTTCCAGCATTTGGTACCCAAGTGCTTTCCATTCTCTTAGGCTTTCACAGTGGTCAAACAGGAGTTTTTCCAGTAACTTCCTTAGCTCCTTTGGAAGCTAAATGTCCAAAGGACCTGGGTGTCCTCTCCACAGGGTTATTCACCTCCCTGGGAAATATCTAACAACCTTAATTTGGCAGACTGGGTTTAACATTGGGCCCAAGAGGGAAGCCTGGAAAGGGTGCAGTTAGAACTGGAGGGATGAACAGAGACTGGTACGCTCAGCCAGAAGTATCCAAAGAATAGAAAAGGCTATGATTTAAATTTGGTTAAACCTCACACAAAAATGATTAGAGAGACATCATTTTAACCCAAACCTAAGGGTCCTGTGGCCAAAGGGAGGGGTTAGGCTCATGGAGTGCCAGCTAGACATGCAGAGCTGAATGGGTAATGCCTGCTGCCAAGCATGGCAGATAAGACATCCTTTCTATTCTCATACTCCTTCCAAATCCAATGTCAGGACTGGGGATGACTAAATAGAAATAGTGAAGAGAGAGTTTGTCTAAGGCAGTTACCCAACTATGTCTTTTAGGTCAGGGGAAAAGGTGTGTTCCCTCCTGCATATCCCTCTAGGCCCATCATCTCCTGGGGGCCTCTCATCTCTGATCTATTTCTAACAGATTTTGTGGTGGTTTTTTTATTCTCTTTGCAAACACAAATAAGCCTTGGAGGTGGCCTCCCCAGAAAGGAGGAAGGAGAAGCCATTCCTCTTAATATTGAGTTCTGGTATCTTGATAAAGGTCATGACCTGCCTTCTATCCCCTACCTCCATTAAGAACCGGAAATACAGTAAGATTGCAGCAAGATAGGTGGATGTTGTGTGGCTAGCTAGCATTTATATAGTACTTTAAAGTTTGCAAAACGCTTATAAATATTATCTCATTTTATCATCACAACAAACTTGGGAAGTAAGTGCCATTATTTTCCCTATTTTAAAGAGCAAGAAACTAAGGTGAGCAGAGGTTAAGTGACTTGTCCAGGGTTACACACCTAGCCAGTAGCTGAGGCTGGATTTGAACTCAGGTCTTCTTGGCTCTAGGTCTATTGTTTTATCTGCTGTGACACCTAGCTGCCTCTGATTCCCTCAAGGAGTTATAAGATACAGGAATGGGAGACTGATGGAATTATGTGACTTCCCTTCTCTAGATTCTTCTGTATCTGGCATAGGCTAGGTATAGAACTACCTGGATAGAGATGAACTTTCCAGAGCCTGCCCAAACCCACACAGCTCCCATACAATAGTGTGGTTTCCTTTGGTCATTTTCAGAGCTGCCCAGAGGGTGGAGGAGGCCAGTGGGTCTGTGATTTTAGTAACTTAGAATTCCGCCCACCTTCCCCAGGCTACATTCTCCCTACTAAGGACAGCCTTGGGCACCCTATTCATATACACCCAAAAGAATCTTATCCTTTCCCATACCTCCAGACAAGTCTGTCCTATAAAGGAGTTAAGACAAGATAGAAGACACAAATTTCCCCATCTGACTAGGGTGAAAGGGAGATGAATGTGTAAGCACAAGTGAAATAAGAGAGTAGCATAGGCCAAGATAGAACCCCTCCATGCAAACGTAGGCTTAAAGTAGGGGCAAAAGATAATTGGAAACAACTAGAAATGTAGAGGAAAGCCTTTTTCCTCTTTTCTAGGGAAGAAAATAGGAGGAAGAAGTCTCTGGGTATTCAGCTCCATCGTGATCCAGAAGTAGGTCCTGAAGATAAGAGGAGCTCTTTGCTAAGGAGAAAGGAAGGAACTATTGCCTAAGGTTGAGGATTCTTGTTCATTTCTACATGACAAGTGAAGTTGCTCCCATTCCTGAATATGGTCAGTGGGGTATGGTCCAACACAACATCCCACTTTACCATTCACTCTTATGACCTCCCCCCAATTTCCATGACAAATGGAGCCATTGGTAAGCTAGAGACAAGCTACAAAAGACTAGCAAAACCACCATGTCCATCGCCATGCCTCTGAGCATAGCTTGAGGCTGACAGGTGAAAATCTGAAATTGACACTAGTATGCTAGGGAACTGAGATACCATATTCTAGTTACCTCCTGATCTCTAGCTGGCCAGATGTCATCAATTCCCACACGGCTATGGAGTTAGATCCTGAGCAGGATAACTTCACTTTTCCTATTGACCATTCTTGGGACCACACTGCTAATTGGATGGTGTTTCATCAGTAAAGATATCTCTTCTTACCTCCATTCTCTTTGTGACCCCATTTGGGGTTTTCTTGGCAAAGATACTGGAGTGGTTTCCATTTCCTTCTCCAGTTCATTTTACAGAAGAGGAAACAAGCAAATAGGGTTAAGTGACTTACTCAGGATCACACAGCTAGTGTCTGAGGTTGACTCCAGGCCTAGTGCTCTATCCAGTGGGCTACCTATCTGCCCCTTTCCCAAAAGAGGACAACCACTTTAATATCAAAGGAGGGAAGATAATCCAGTCTTGCCAAATTACCTGCAGCCTCAGAAGCCAGGCCTTAAGGGTCATTACATAATTTTTCTACCAGCCCTTGGCATTATCTTGGTGATATAATATTAGGACAATGTGTAGATGATATAGTCATCATTCAATGGTTCAGAGGGAGTGATTAGTACAAATACAATTCTTCTTTACCCTGATACTTCCTAATTCCTGCCCTAGAAAGTGGGGGAATTAGGGGCTGAGATCTTGGAGACCTTGGAGAGGGCACTTTTATTTTCATAACCAGCTATTTCCAGTCTGAACTTCTTTGAAAAGACATTCATCCATAAGGAAAGACCCCCTTCTCAGTGCACCTTGAGTTTTTCCAACAACCACCTCCCCCCAAAGAGGCAATCTTGATCTTGAAGAAGGCAAGAATAACTATGCCATTCCCTTGGAAAAGACTTCAAAGACTCAATAGAAGTGGCAAGGTCTCCTTAGGACAGGTCTCTCTCCCCTCTCCACTTTCACCCCATTCCTTGACATCTCATCTTCCTGTTTCCCTCCTTTCATGTCACTATCCCCCTTTTTTTATTCCCCCTTTATCTTCTCCTCCTTTTCTCCCTCTCTCTCAGCAAGTTTTTTATGTGATTACAGGCACTGCATGGTAATTAGTGCTAAACTCATTTGCACAACTACAGTTAATTGGCTACAACAATTAATTAATGTGTTGGAAATTTGGCACTGGGAAAAAAAGTTTGTCATAAAAAAAAGCAAAAAAAAAATGTAGAATGAAATGCCCATAAAAATCTAGGGCAGGCTTCAAAGGCCCAGCTGGGCCTCAGACCTGGGGCTGGCCTTCTCTACCACCTTCCCACGCTCAACTCCAATAGCACTCGGCCTTTCCCATTTTTTCCTCCTTTCTTTCTCTTTCTCCCTCTCTCTCTCTTTTTTTTTTTTTAACAACTTAAGCAAACTCATTTCCCTGATAAAATATAGCATGACTAATGGCTAGAGCATGTAAAAATCATTGGGAAAATGTCCTTGGAAGACGAATGCATTTTCAGCAGAATAATTAACTTAATTAACAAATTCACATGCATATTCATCAGGCTATTAATGTCTTCTCGGCTCAGCTTGATGAACATTGCGGTAATAACCATCTCATTTACATACTGCATTCTACTGCGATCCAAAACAGACAACATACAGGCGTACACACACGCGCGCGCATGCACACACACACACACACACACACACAAGTACAGGCACACACATGTGTGAGTCAGTCTAGACTCCGGGGTGATTGGGAATGTGGGAGGGTGTACAGGCACCTGGCAGGGGATTGGGTGGAACCCTGAGAGAGTTTGGTCTATGGAGAGTCATTGTTGAGGGAGCCTGGGGTCGGAGAGGGGAGGGGGGAGGGGAGTATTTGCATGCATTTGTGCGTAAGAGATCAAGAAAGAACTTTCATCATTTCTCTTTCTCTCTCTCCCTCCCTCCCTCTCTCTTTCTTCATTCTCTCCTTTTCTCCCTTCCTTTTTCTCCCTCTTCTAACCCCCCCCATCTCTCTCTAGGGAAAAACTTGGTATCTGTGCCAACTTTCTTCCCCCTTCCCTCCCTCCTTCTCTCCTACTCTTTCCCCCCTCCCAACTGCTGCCAGCCGGCGTCAGCGCCGAATTGCCATCTCCCTCAGCTCTCTGTGGAGCAATCTTGAGGATCAGTAAGGTGTGACGCTGGGCTCTGCCGGCTTCGCAGCACCGCCTGCGGAAAGAGCGCAGGATGGAGGAGGAAGATTAAGAGAAATCGCGAGCAGGGCTCTGCTGCCATTGGTGTGTGCAAACGCCGAGGAGGAAGGGAGAGTGAGAGAGCGAGAGAGAGAAAGGGGAAAAAAAAAAAAAACACAGCAGCTGTCGGCCTAATTCTTCTAACACTCTGCTTGTGGTCATATTAGAAAAACAGATTATGCCCCTCGGTGCCACTCACTTATATTTGACATACGTTAATGTTCTATATCTTCATTCTCTGGTCTCCACAACGCTGGACTTTGGGTTCAGGGGACTGGGGCTGGATGGGCCAGAGGGACACAGAAGAAGCTGCCCAATGCCCTCTCTTCCCCTCTGCCTCCTAAAACACCACCCTAGAAAGAAAAAGCACCAGCTCTGGCTTTATATTTGATGCTATCATTTGTTTTTGCTCTCACTTTCCTCCACACCCCGCTTCTCTGTTGATGTCTCTGTAAGGAACTCTTCATATCCCCTCCAACAAAGCATCCTCCCTCCTCCCTAAAGGATAGGCCCCCTTAGGACCAGTCGAGGCCAACTGAATTCTGGGGTACCCCCTTTTACCTTGGCTCCTCCCTTTCCTATTTAGGAGGAGTAGGGCTAGGAGGGAAGGGTAGTCTAAGAATGCACACCCCAGAGTTGGGTAGGAAAGACACCTAAGGACCCCAAGGCCAATCCAGGAATGTATCTGAGTAGCTATGGAAACCAGGTTACCCCACCACCATTGATCTTGAAGGACAGTAGGGGTGAAGTCTATTAGGTCTTTTCTCCCTAGCCCTAAGCTGGGAAAAGGACTAGACTTGGGAGTGAATTGGCTAGCTCTGTACTTGTACGTGCCCCTCCCTGGCCCCAGTGGCTGCCGCGGCGCCTTCCCTGTTTTTCTAATGTTCATTTGATGGTGCCTTGTTCCACACTGTGTGCCTTGTCCTCTTCGGAGACCTGTTGCTTAGCAACCACCAGTGCCTTCTTTCTAATAACTCACAGGGACCATAAGATATATCTATCTCTTTATTCTCACTTTCCCCCCCCCACCCCAGTCTATTTATTTTTAATAAAGCCCCTGCTTCAGGTTCACATGGCACTGTTTTCCCAGAAGGTATTGACAAGCATCAGCTTGTGTGCCCCAAAAGGGAGAAAAGTGAGTGTAAGCTGTAGCATAAAGGAATGAGTTTAAAACTAAGAAAGAACTTTCCAAAAGGGTAGGGTGGGAAACACTGAAGGAAGAGATAATGGGAAGATCTAAAGTCTTCTTAGGGTAGTCTTCAAATGGACTATAGTTCATACAAGTCTTCACAACTTGCATGTTGTGTCTTTCATATTTGTACTTGTCTCTTTTTGTCTGAACCTATGATTTTCATTGGTAAAGGGAATTCCCAAGGAGGAAGCTCCTTCTACCAATAGAAGTGGTGAGGGCTTTAACTGGGCTACAGTGAGTAAGCTCCATTTCTCCTGGGGTTGCTCTCAAATGCCTGAAGCAATTCCTCCTGGTACTTCAAGGTACAAAAAAGCTGATTCTTTCTCTGGTATCTGGGGTACACACAGAAATAGAGATTTCCTCAGTCAAGGTGGTAGAGGAATATCTGACCTCAGGGTTCAAACCAGGATGACTTGAAAAGCTCCCAGTAGAGATACCAGTTCTAGGCATCAGGGATGTTCCTTCCCTTTTTCTTCACTTCTCCCCTTCTACTGTCTCCATCTAATCTACCACCTGGTCTTTGATCTGTTGCTATAGAGACTACCTCTTCCCCACTGCCCCCAGGAATCCTAAGAGAAGTCAAGACGTGGAAATGAGGGAGCAAAGCTATGCTTGAAGAATCAAATGGTCATTGGGTAAGTACCTACAGTGGAAAGATAAGATGATTAAATCTAGATTCTTAAATCGAGAAAGTGCCTTAGAGGTCATTCAGTTCAACCACCTTATTTAAAAAATGAAGAAATTAATGGCCAAAAAGAGGAACTGATTTGCCTAAAATCACACACAGAGATCACACAGTTAATGACAAATCTGGGACTAAAATCCAGGTTTTCTGACTCTGAATTGTGTCCATTTTTTTTAATTGATGGATGTCATCATTTTTTTTATCTGTGTTACTTCCCAATGACTACTGCTCCTCTATCACCAAAGAGAATCCTCCATTGTAACAAAGACATATAATTAAACAAAACAAATCAAGACATTGTCTATGCTTAACAACGTATGCCTCATTTTGTACTTATAGGCCACCATCTTTCTGCAGAGAAGAGAAAAGAATGCTCCATTTTTCAGTCCTCTGAAGTCACAGTTGGGTCATTGCAGTGATCAGAGTCTGGATATGTTTCAACATTGTTTTCCTTGAGTTCATTGTGGTCTTGGGGTAGATTGCTGCTCCCAGTTCATCAGTTCATACAAGTCTCCACAAATTTTTCTGAATTCTTCATTTTTATAATTGTCTTTTTTTTTATTTTGTCTGAGCCTATGATTTTCATTGGTAAAAGGAATTCCCAGGGAAGAAACTCCCTGTACCAATAAGGGTGAGCAAGTCTTCTGCAGTTTCTTGTCCTAGAGATTTGCCTAGGGCACTGAGAAGTTATATGGCTTACCCAGGATCAAACAACCTGAGTGCCTTAAAAATAACTGGGCTGTCCTAACTCTGAGGCCAGTCCTCTAATCACTACACCATGCTCCTGCCACTCCACACTGTTTGTTTCGTAAGGTACAATAATATTACATTGCATTTATATACCACAATTTGGCAATTCCCTAGTTGGCACTTACTTCATTTCCAGTTCTGTGCTATCATAAAAGGTGCCACTATAAATATTTTTGTATATATGGGACCTTTTCTCTCTCTCCTTGACTTCCTTGGGATATGTCCGGTAGTGATATAATAGTTCAAAGGGTATGTACAGTTCAGTGACTTTTTTTTTTTCTTCAGGCATTTGGGGTTAAGTGACTTTAGTGACTTTTCTATTGCAGTTGAAAATTGTTTTCCAGAAAAGGCCGAAATGGTTACTAGTTCCACCAAACAGTACATTAGTGTCTCTGTCTTTCTACAACTCCTGACACTTCCAGTGGTCTTTCTCTAGCATATATTTCTAATATAGGCTAAGATTTCTTCTGAGCCCTCTATAGAAAGCTCCTAGAGCAGGGTATCTGAACCTTTTCAATATCATAGACCCCTTTATCAGTCTGGTGAAGCCCATGGACCCCTTCTCTTGATAATATTTTTAAATGCATCAAATAAAATATATAGGATTACAAAGGAAATCAATTATATTGAAATGAAGGTATAATTTTTTTCCCATCCAAGTTCATACCCCTTGAAATCTATTCTTGGACCCCTTAGGGCTCTTAACCTAGGGCTAGGTTAAGAACCCTTGGAGGAGGTAGCTAAGAATGATGAATGAGTACAGAATCCTAGGGGAGATAATGCCACATCAATCTAGCACTGACCTGAACTCAACCCTAGGCTCAACCCTAGTTCCCTACCTGCCAAATGTATATCAGAATTGTTGGCAAATAGGAGTGGGGACTTTCCCTCCTTCTATGTGGAACAGGTGTATGGGGGTTAAGGAGTACAGATAGAAACCAAAATCAAACATCTTGTTGCCTGGTAAGAGTAGGGTCCCAGTAATGCCTTCTATTGCTCCTTCCTCAGCTTTTGACTTTTGAATTTTTTTAAATTTATTTTTTCAATGAACAAAAATCTATTTTATCTTCCTCCCACTTAGAAGAAGAAGAGAGAAAAACAAAACCCTTGTAACAAGCATGAATAGTCAAGCCAAATAAATTCCCTCACTGGCCATAGCCTCAAAATTTGTCTCATTCCATACCCTAAGTGCATTGCCTCTCTGTGAGAGAGCATGCTTCATCATCGGCCCTCTGGAATCCTTGTTGTTGGCCTTTGATTTCTAACTCTGGCTAAGGTATATGTCCCTTTACCCTTACCTGAGACAGAGGCGGACACCCCCATCCCCATCAAGTTCTTCTCCCTTGCCAGCAACATGACTGTCATGTTCACTCAGTCTGTAGGGCTGTATATACCCCCCATGCCTCTCCTCTGTCTGACCCCCTCCCCCAATCTGAGCCTTCTGTGGGAGACAGATGGGGTGTCTGTGATGGAACAAGCTCTGGGCTCCTTGCCGCCTGGGGCGGGGAGGGCTCCCCTCCATCTTCCTGCTTCTCCCTCTCCCCACCCAAAGCACTGAAATCCACATGGGACCTACTAGTCATACTAGAAGCAGCTTTCAAATCCAATCTCCACCCCAGCCAGCACCCAGAGAAGGGGAGAACCAGCCCTCCACTGGTGAGGGCCTGGGCTGGCCTAAGCCTCAGTTGGAGACAGTGCCACACTCAGGTGGGGAAGGGGGCTCCTGCAGGGCCAGGAACTAGGTTAGGAGATGGTGGTGCCCAATGCCTCGTGACTAATGTGGAGAGGCAGCAAGAGAGAAGAGCTTCACCTCACCTCCTGCAGGGCCACCACGCTGGGGACCTAAGCCTGGGGTCTGGGGTGGAGAGGAGTTCAGAGCAGTCACTGTACCTTTTTTGTCCTAGCTTTCTCAGATTTTGGAGGGTAATAGATCTCAGGAGCAATCAGGCAATGTGGAGAAGAGGGATGTCTCTTTGGCCTAAACCTATACCCTTATTCCACCCCCCACTCCACCCCACCCCCACTCTCCTACCCCTCAGAGCATGTCTGACCTAGAACAGGCCGGACATGGCCCTTTGATGCTAGGCCACTGGGCAGGATATTGAGAGTCTGTCATTTTCCCAGGAAAAGAGAAGATAAGAGTCCTTCCAAAGCTTCTCCACCCCCCCCCACCCCCACCCTTGCCCAGCAGAGGTTCCACTTCCCATTGGGAGTAATCTAGCTCTCTCTGTCTGCTCCTTACCCCCTAACTATCCTGAAAGTACAATCTGAGATCCCAGCAGCCTCAGCTGGAATACAGTCTTTGAGGTTAACTAATCAATCCTACCTCAGCCCCCAAATAATTTGATTTCTTATGTATGGGGTGAGGGGTCTTTATGCTACGGAGGACTCTGAGAGAGGCAAGCAGAAGCCAGAGCCTAATAGACTTAACTCCCTCCCTCATCCTCACCTCACTCCCATTCCAAGTTGTCTCTGTTGCCTCGGAGATGTCTGGGGAGATAAGAACTGAGTCCCAAGCTGGGTGGCAGGTGTGGCAGGAGGAAGGCCAAGGGAATATGAAGAACCAGTAAGGAGGTAAGTTCAAGAAGTCTGGGCTGCCTTCATTGTGACAGATCAGATGACCTCTGGAGGGTATCCAGTCTTCTGTCAAGGCCTTTGCTGCTCCTATAGTCTGAGCTCTGTCAACCCAAACTGCCTCCCCCGCCCTCCCATACACCCTTCAATTAAGATTGGGCTGTCTGGGTAGGGAGGAGAGGAGGAAGAGGAGATAGGAAAAGCAAATAAGTACAGTTAGATGGATCCGGCTGGGATAGATTAGGCTTCTCAGTGATCCCTTTTCCTCTCCCTCCTCTCTCAAATACCCCCTCCCAACCAACCTTACCACCTCCTCCTGTTCTTTGCCTCTCATCCTTCTGAACCCTAGCTTTGGTGCACAAAATCTGCTGTGGTTCCCCAAGGCTTAGAAGGTGAGGGAAGGATTGATTCTATAGGGTAAGGAGGCTGGTTGGTGAAGGTGTTGCCACTCCCCTCCAGTCACCACCTCTCCCCCTCCTCCCCATGTCCCCTCCATACTGCCTTGCCTTCCTCTGCAAATCTCTGGAGCTATGCCTTTGGAAGCCACTGGGGTGGGGGTGGGGGGGCCAGGCAGAATGTTGCTCTCCCTCTGACCCCACCTGTTCTCAGGTCCCTAATGAAGTGGGGCAGCCTAGGCCATTAGCCAAGTCTCCATGTCCTCATCAAAAGCAGCATCTGTCCCCTCCAAGAATGAATATCGCCCCCCTGAGGGGGGAGGGGAGAAACCAAGGAGAAGGGGCCCCAAGCCAACCCGTGCCTTCACCCCACATTCCACTGCAGGCCTAGATTAGATAGTGAGCAAACAGGAGTCAGCCAGAGGCAGGGATGGAAGCCCTCCCTGCACATACATAAATACATACATGTGTCAGCACATACTAGTGCTGCCCCCCCTCCCAGCTTACCAAGCTACCTGGGCCTCAGTCACTGCCAATCGAGCCTTCTTTTATTCATTCGTTGTTTTATTGCTGGCAAACACCACCGCCTGCCACTGTTGGAGGCATTCCTGCCAAATCCATCCCAACATCTTGGCCTGGCATCCGGGCGGCATGCTAATGCAGAAATTTAAAGAGCTGCTTGCTTGCTCGGCTTTAAATCGGAATTTCAAATGAGCAGCCATACTCCAGGGGGACTCAGGCAAAAGCTGAACAATATCTGACCCTGCCCTTCCCGCCCCCCAACAACCCCATACCCCTCAAGCTTCTTCTCCTCCCCAGCTC